TTTTTTTAATTAAATGCAAAAGAAAAAAAAAAACCTTGCAGGTTTTGTGTCCCGCCCCCCTTGCTTTTCTTCCTCCTCCTCTTCCTCCTCCTCCTCTCCCTCCGCCCTCACCGGGGGATGGGCTTGCATGAGGCCCCGCCCCACACGTCGGCGAGCCAATTCTCGCCCGGCGGGGCCGAGCGGCGGGCCCGAAAGCCAATGGGAGGCAGCGGATGCCTGGGAGGGCGCCCAGCGTGCCGCCCCCTCCCCCAGCCTAGGCCCGGGGGTTTGGGGGTGCGCCTGGCCAGGCTCCGGAGCAGTGTGCCCATGGCTTCGAGCAGAGCTCACAATTGTGGTGGGGTGGAGGCTAAAGGAGTTCGCGTTCTTGAATCCCCACGCCCATCCTACCTGGGGAAGGGGTGCGGTGCGCCCTGGGCGCGTCCCCAAACCTGGGGAACGTGGCCTGGAGGGGGGACGCGTCCAAGGGCATAGCTGAAGGTTGGCAGAGAGAGCGGGAGCCCAGGATGGCAGAGGAGAGGAGTCCCCGCGAGAAGGGACCGCCAAGGAACCTAGAGTTGGCGCCGACAAGAGTGAGGCCACGGAGACTTAGGGGGCGATAGGCCGGGCGCCTGGGCGTGACCTGGGCACTCACCGAATTTGCCCTCACCGATCGCGGCGGCGCCAAGGACGTTGGTCAGCCAGGCCTGACAGCCTCCGGGAGACCGCTCTCGGGTCGCGCCGTGGGATTCCCGGAAGCCCTTGGACGCCGCGGCGGTGGCAGCTCCGCTTCCGCCCCGCCCGGCCGGGACGCCGCGCCCGCGGGACACCTGGCTTCCCGCGTCCGGGCGCAGGACGCCTGGGGTGCGCCCAGTGGGTGCGGAGACCCAGGGCACCCCGGAGAAGGCGGTGTACACAGTAGGTGTCCGGTACGTGTGCGTTGAATAAATGAGCGATCGAGACACTTGTCTGTTTTTAAGTCTTGGCAGTTATACTAGTCTTCCGGTGGTCCTACCTGTAACGTTTTTTAAATGTTCTTTATGATAATGTAATTATGAAAGATTCGAGGTTAATGGCCCTCAGTCACCTCCTGGGTCACTTTTTTTTTTTTTTTTTGCTGTGTGATACTGAGTAAGTGACTTCGTCTCCCTGTGTCTCCGTTTCCTCATCTCTAAAATGCTGGTAGTGCTTGCTTCGGCAGCACATATTCTAAAATGCTGGTAATAAGCTCACTATGCAGCGGCAGGAGGAGGGAAGAGCTACAGAGAACCGCACCAGACAGGAAGTACCAGGTAAGTGCAGTTTACTGGTAGTGACTGTAAGATAAAATATATAAACTCCACACGTGAATGCTTTATTGTTGCCCCAAACAGCAGTAAATCTCGACTTTTGGAAGTGAACATGCACAGCCCTGTGAACATAGGCGAAGCCTTCAGGGAAACAGTAGCCTACACGGTCAGACCTTACCTTTGTGTGGTCTGCCCAAGTTCTAACACTCCTTGAGCGTTAACTGGGTAGTGAGCAGGTTTCTAATCAAGACTGGCCACAGGGGAGCGACCTTGTGTGACTCCCATATAGTCCTTTTGTTTACAGTGTAGAAAAAATTGGCTTTTTGGAAAAGGGAAGTATTTTGCCCAAGGTTGTGCAGCTGTGTGCACAGTCATGCAACCAGGAAGTGTGGCCCATCCCTGAGCCAAGGCTGCACAGTCCACTGGAGCCAGACATGGTGTCACTTCATTATAGTTGTCAATTCTGCCAGACTTAGATGTTGGGATCAGACAGATTCAGAGGTAGCAAACCTGAAGCACTAGGGTTGGCTTTGCTGGAGTTTATTCACTTGTACAGGAAATATTTTTTGACTGTGCCAGGGATATACACTGGTGTCCAAGTACTTCCTAGGTCAGAAATTACAAACCTGTTAGAGACTGAATGCCCAAACTGCAACCCAAAACTATTAATTGCACAGTGCCAACATTGCCATTAATCCTGAATACTGAGATTTTTCCCTAGAAAAAACAACTGTTATCCAATGCTCAGCTGCTGGGGCGACTTGGCTTGGTTGCCACAGGTTCACCACCAATGCCCTAGGTCCTGCCTCCCACACACCTCAGTCTACAGCAGCACAGTGAGCAAGTAAGTCACCTAGCCTCAGTTTCCCCCCTTGGTCATGCCCTGTAAATCCCTGGTTGGTGCATTGTGATATAGCCCGCATCCCTAGTTGGTGCCTGGCACTTAGTGCTCAAGAAAAGCTGGCTTAGGGCCAGCAAGATAGCTCAGCAGCCTAAGCAACTGCTTAGGCAAGTTCAGGGACCAGGGTTTGATCCTCGGCAGCACCTCCAGGTGCCCCACTGAGACTTTGTGGTAATCCCAGTCTCATCCTTGGAGGATGAGTCCTAGCTGGGTAATGAGATCCTGTACCAAATACATTTTTTTAAAAAGCTGTCTTGCTTAAAAAAAAAAAAAAATCTTGAACAAAGAATTCCCACTTACAGCCTCTTAGACATACACCTCTTAGGGGGATAGATGGATTTGAGACCAGGCCTTTTGCCATAGGCGTGGCTGGCTGCAGAGGAGCCAAGGAAAGCCCAGCCCAACCCTAGCCAAAGCTGACAAAGCCCTGGAAGACAAATGTCTGTCTTGCCTGCTAAGCTCTGGGCCCTGGCATCGTTGAAAGCCTGGCCAAGCTTCAGGGTTGATAACAGGAGTTGTCAAAGCTTCTCTAAGAGCAGTAGGTAAGGTCTGAAGAATGTTGTGTGCTCAGAGCCAGCAAAAGCCATCACCAAGGGCCAGTGTGGGTCCTAATGGTGAGACCTGGGGTTCTGTTCCTTGGGGATGACATTTTCGCTGTGAGAATAAGATGCAAGCTATAATACCAGCACTTGGGAGGCTGAGGCAGGAGGATCACTGTGAGTTCAAGACCAGCCTCAGCTACAAAGTGAGCTCAAAGCCAGCCTGAACTGTATAGGAAGCTCTTGTCTCAAAAAAGAAAAGGTAAAATAAAATAAAGGATGCAAGTTCTCACATTAAGATTTAGTTGAGGGCTGGGGAGACAGCTCAGTGGAATAAGTCCTTCCTAGCAAGCACAAGGGCCTGAGTTCAATCCCCAGTTCCACCAAAAAAAAAAAAAGAAAAGATTTAGTTGGAGCCAGGTGTGGTGGCATATTCCTGTGGTCCCAGTGCTTTGAGAGGGTGAGACAGGAGGATCACTGAGTTTGAGACCAGTCTGCACTACATATAAGACTATCTCAAAAAAACAAAACAAATTTAGTTGGGTTGTAAGAACATGTTTAGATCTGTCTACCAGCTAGGGTAGGAATTAATCTAGCACACTCAAGTGTTCAGAGTCATCAGATGACATAGTGACCTGGGCAAGTCCTTTCTTCAACTCAGTTTTCTCCTCTGTTCAACTACAGTGTATGATCAGGTATCAAAGTTTATTATGAAAATTCCCAAACATTTATTATGAAAATTCTCAAACATGCAAGAAGCAGAAGAAATACAGTAAACAGCGAAACACCTATCACCTGGTTTGATGTCAGTACACCACTTGCTTTATAACACCCCTGTGCATCTCTGCCAAATCTTAAGTTTTTGGTGTGTGTTCAGAGTGACAGCCATCCGTGTCCTGTCCCCCAACCACGAGAATCAGGCACTCATAACTTCACTCAGTTAATGCTTTGCTTGCCACACCCTGGCACAAGCACTGGTTTCAAATTCTATTCTTGCTGGGCATGTGGGCATGGTAGCACACGCCTGTAATCCCAGCAATGGGGAGGCAGAGGCTGGAGCATTGCTGTGAGTTTGAGGCCATCCTGAGTTGTATAACAAGGCCCTGTCGAAAGAAAGAAAAAAGGAAGAGAAAAAAAAGATCCATTGTCCTTGTTTTATGAAGGAGGAACTGAGGCTTTTGAGGTCATACAGTCAAGGATTCAAGTTCAACTCTGTCTCAAGTCCAGACTCTTTAAGAGAGGATGGATAAGAAGAGAGTTACTAGGACAAAGCAAAAACAGGACTAGAGAGGGCACCTCCAAGTTGTGTCAGCACCGCAGATGCTGTGTTCCCTAGCCCAGAGCAGCCGCAGCAAAGAGTCCTCACCTGCCAGGTCACTGTCCTAACACAAGGACTCTTCACAAATGTTTAAGGGTACAAAGAGATTGCTGTGAAGGAAATGACTTCTCTTCTGGGGCCCTGCAGCCATGTAAGCCTAGATATGGGCCTGGTCATCCATCAGACCTTGGGTTATGGCAACCCCAATAGTGTGTGCTTCTCAGCTCCTCTCTCAACACTGAAAAGGAGTATTAGGAAACCTTTAGTTGCTGTGGAGTCCAGCACATTGAAGAACTGTGCCTTTCTAAGTCTGAATGCTCTTTCCATGCCAGCCCACTAGCGCTAGGTCCCCCTTTTCCTCCCAACACCCCTAACCCAGAAAGACCTCTTCCTGCCACCCACAAGTCGAATTTCCAATTGGGTCCACTAGGTCATGTTTCCTTCACCCCTACCCAGCAGGAGCTGATCAGTATGGAGATGACACATCTCTGCAGAAAATTTTTTCTTCTCTTTTTTTAAAATTTATTTATTTATTTATTTTTGCGGTATCGGGATTGAACTCAGGCCCTTGCGCTTGCCAGGCAATCCCTTATTCTACTGAGCTATCTCCCCAGCCGGATTCTCTTTTTAATAAGTGGTCGATGCCTCAGTCAAAGCGATGGCTTTCGCGGCTCCTCCCTCGCCCTCGCACTTGCAAAGTTACAAACTTTGTCAATCCAAGTTCTTTCTTTTCTTTC